TAGTGTTGATGTGTTAAAATGTTTTCTTCTTTCGTAAAAGATCTACACTACATATTAGTCATTACATATATTTGAATAATGTTTTACCTGCAATATTTTTTGCCTGTTTTTTTATATTCTCCACGAACCACACGTTTAGCGCTTGCCGGGCGGTTGCCCTTACTACTAGACTACGGAGGAGCTTATCTTTCTCCGCTTACCAACGTGTTATTGCGCGGTCACATTGGTCGTTTTTTTTGTAAATATTGTGAAGTGTGTCTACAACAAAGCTAAAACTTAATCGATGACTTAACCTTACTTTTTCGTACAATTAAATTAATGCTTTTCGACAACTCTGCTAAATGTCAATTATTCACGACAGCATGGATTTATAAAACAGGCGTTTTTGCCACATTTACTTCTATCTACGTGCTGATTTTTTGTAGTGGATGTAGACATGGTGACATGTTTACTCTCTTTATTTAAGCCAACCATCAAATATATTTTTGTACAAGTTCATTGTTTTTTTAATATTTTAATTTTGACCTAACTCATTTTTTCTACGATCGCCACTGTAAATCGTTAAGATCACACAACTCGCTAATCATGTATGCGTGTCCTTACGCACAGCGTGCGTAAGAAAAGCAAATCGCACAGTTAGGGATTTTTCGATTTATTCAGTTTAGGTTGGTAGTGAAAATGACAAGACGGACCGGCAAATACAAAATTGTGAAGCACTTGTCAGCGTTACTGTTAATAAAAGAGGCATAATCAAAGAATTTTAAAAGAAGAAAACGAACAAGGTAACATTTACTGCAAAAAATATCAACATTTCTCTCTTTTTACGGATTCTATTTAATTGTAGTCTAAAATGTCTAGCGATAGTGATGAATTAATGTGCACGCCGCCGGAGATAATTGAAAAGGCCAAAACGGCTATCGACAATCTATTGCCCAGAAAGTCGCGTGAAAGATATGAAATCGTCTACCAAAAATGTATGGCATGGAAAATAAAAAATAAAGTAAATTCGTTGTCAGAAAACATAATGTTGGCATATTTTGAAGAGTTGTCAACTACAATGAAACCATGTCACTATTTCAGAACATAATGTGACTGCATCCTGTAGTCAGAGTACAAGTAGCCACAAAACTAATACTACCGACCATTCCCTTGTGTTTAACAACTGTACAGTGACAATAAACAATTACTACAAATAATTATAATATCTAATAAAACTAAAATGTTAATGTTTATGAATAAAATGATTTTGTCTGTGCTCGTAGAAAAAGTATAGTACATAATTCGAGTTGTAAAGCCCTTACGCACTCATGGAAATACGCACTCGCCGCTTCGCGGCTCGTGCGCAACTTTTTCTATTCGTGCGTAAGATGCTTCTTACAACTCTCATTAAGTAATATACTATTAATTAGCTGAAACAGCTTGGGTTACATTACATTAATTATATTATTACGAGTATTACAATATCACAAAACCAAAAATATTAATTTCTGATAAACAGAATCAAACAGGTCAGATAGACTTTTATAAAGCAGTGAGTTATTAAGGGCGGCTTCGTAGATGTCTCATTAATATATTATTAGACGTAGAAAAGTCAAAGACTGAAATTATTGTCAACTATAGCGAGTGTTCTGTTTTTAAGGCGTAGCACAAAACTTAGTTTTTTTAAAGAGAATACTTTAAATATTTTTACATATTCTGATTTCTTCTTAGGCTTTTGTCACCAAAGTTTATTTTTGAAATTCCAATTTTTATTAAAATCTTTGTTAAAATATTCTACAGAGAGATAAATAGAGGAATACGCTTTGTTATAGTACAAATACATTGCGCCTTGATATATAGGGTGTTTGTAAATTTTTGCCTAATTATTATAATTTTCAAATATCGAAACTTCAGTTTTCTCAAATAAAACATCATCTGTATTTTACTATTTCATCTTGCATCTTATTTTGTTTTCTGTTCTCTTCCTTTTTTGTTGAATATTCATTATGTCCCCGGATTGAGTTCACAAGAGGAAAAAAAACTGTATTTTCTATTTTGCAAAAAAATAACAGGATTAACATTTTTTGCTTAATTCAAAACGAATTTGATTTTGCGATTTTTGTTTTGTGATGACCTCTATAAAGTACGGACAATCTAAAATATATTTAAAGCCGATAACCAACGAGAAAACATGTCCACTCAACAATAATAATATGCTTAACTTCGAGTGTTTATCCATACAAAGAATGTCCCGTATAATTTTTTTTGATTTGAATGAGCTTGTTTGTACTGAAATTTTTAATTAAGCCACATTCGACCAAAATGTTCTAAATAGTATTATTTTAATTCTTATTTTATCATTATTAAATAAAGACGTGCGTATTCTCACATTTTCGAAAAAATGGAGTGATTCGTTCTTAATTTGATCAATAAAACCTTTATGATGACGTCATCATCATAGGTAGACTAGTCATAGTGTGACGCTGATGTTAGGTGTTGTAACATCTAAGCCGCAAGACTATGGACGGCAATATTCTGAATAAGTAGTAAAATGTTTTAATACCACTAAATTTTTTGCGAAAATTTGGACGTTTAGGGAAAAAAGTTAAAGCAGATTCGTACACCACAAGTATATTGTTGTATAACATTTAAATCATTTTAAAATAAAATTCTTCGAATTGACGTCATCAAACTTTAAGTGCGGATGATTAGCCAAATGTTAGTTAGCGTTTTACCATCATTTCTAATATACATACAACGTTTAACAGCAATCGGTCTAGTAGTTTCGGAGATTATCTGTCTAATAAAAATCGACAGACAGACAGACATAGACCATTTTTTCGTACTCTAGTGGTCAGAAAACGTCGAGAAAACATGAAACGGGCAAGTCGTCCGATGGGTTCGATTACAATACTTCCATAGCTTACGCTCGGGAGGTAAAAATAAAACAAAAATGAATAACGTGACAACGTCACATCGTAATTTCAAAAATAAACTATGGTTGTAAAGTCTATGAAAAATATAATAAGAGTATTTAGAAAATATAGGGTGTTCTATGTTTTCAAATTTTTAGGAATTACCCCAAAAGCCAAATCTAGTTAACATGCTTACTTTCTTTTGTGGGAAATTATAAGCAAATACAACATAATCAAATGTGAATTATGCACATTTAAAAAAAATATCAGTGTATTTATTCGACGTATTTAGTCCTTAAAAAGAAAACTATTTGCAAAGGTGTAGTTTAAACAATTAGAATTTCCTTTTCCCTGTATGCGTATATATATTAGATAATTCTATTATTTATTAACATTAACCGAATCGGTGCGAGTAGAGGGGCAAACCGTCAGTGCTCTGGTGCACTTGAACCTCCTGTCGGAATGACTAGCTCTCCAGTGGCTATGTGTCCTGTACCTAAAAGTTTCAAATTCACGCATATCCAGCGGAATTCATACTAGTATTTATTAGATACCAATAAAACGGAAAAATCATCGAGAAAACGAAAATTTGTATATCAGACTACCTACCCTACGTAATTTATTTACAGTATTCTTAAAAATTTTGTTACTTTTCTGTATAGCAAAATGACTTTAAAAACTACGAACCAGTAGTTTTTTTTAAAGATCATCCTCACTTTTCTCTCAGGATTGAAAACTAAATTTTAATTTCAATTTTAGTAAGCATAATTTAACATAATTTAGTGTTATAATGTGCATTCTAATTCTAGACTACAATTAAAAAAAATCAGTTAGGTAGCTAAAACCTTGGGACATCCTGTACATTCTAAGAGCTGACTATGCGTCATCAGGCGTGTGTTGGAGGTTCTGTGGTTGCTGTCGCACTAATCTGACAGCAAGCATTGGACACGTCTGACTGCAACGAAACTTTCCGAACACATTTAAAACTCAGAATTATCGAACCTGGAATTACGTCAGCTAAACAACTTTCAACAAAACGACGTGTTGTTTAAAAAACTTTTTTTGCAAAATAGGTTTCATAAACAATGGTTTTAGTTTGTCCTAATACCTCCACAAAAACGGGAATAAGTGCTACGTTCGCAATTAGATTTATCACTTCCTCTACAAGCAGGACAAATACTCGAGAGCTTTTACCACTGGGAAATGCCACAAAAGAAGTTATCTAAGCCGGACCCTTAATCAAGCGTTGTGAGGTTTTTTATTCAAGCTGGAAGAGGTTAGGTTTGTAAAAGATAATTAACACAAGACAAGATCAAATTTAAAATACACCGATTTTTTTAATTGGCAGAATCCATTTATAAATATAGAATTTACAAATGACACATTTTTGGTCCCACAAATAGTATTGCAGTCGAGGTGGATTCATAAACGACAAGTACATGAATATGTTATTTCATAAAATTTAATTAACATTTACTGCTACATTAAATAAAAAATACTATTGAATACAAAAATACCAGTAAAGTCAGACTTCAAGTTTATAGTATCCACTTTATATAAAAATATAAAGAGAAATAGAGATCTACATCACTCACATTTCTGATTTTTTTGTTGTCGTTCAGCTAAGTTGGTGAGAATACATTTACAATAAATAAGTACGTTGAAATGTTTTGGCGGTTGATTCTAGGATTCTGTCTTTGTAGTTCCCGGATATTATATTTCATTACACTCTAAAGTATTATGGTTATGGCAGCTAAAACAATTTCATTTAATTTTATATAGAATAATAATAATAAAGAATTTCCGTTGCTTTATCCATGTTAGAACTTCATCTGAAAATTTCCAGTCTGATAATAATTCACCCGAAAATAACATCATTTAGTTCGGAATTGTATTTATGAAATAGTAATAAATTACGAGAGATGTATATTTATCTATAGAGTAGGTATATCATCGACAATGATATATTTATTACTACAAAAATGGTAATTAATTTATTGTGCTATAGATTTTCCAAAACATTATATTTCATTTTGTAAACATTTTACTTCGACGCATTATTGTTATGCGTATAATATAAATAATCTATATTAAAATTGTACTTACATACTACTTCCATCCGAGCGTCACTCTGCGCGGAAGAGAAAGATGGCGCCTCAGCAGAGACCTCACATCTATACACCCCACTCGTCTTCCAGCTGACAGGATGAAGGACCACTTTTCTGTTGTCTGACTTGGTCATCTGAAAGCGCAAAAAGCGCAAAATAAACACAGCTGCAAAATCGAAAAGATCTTGTGCCATCCATCATCTCAAAAAAATTCACTGGTGTATGGAGGTGAGTACTGAATTACGTCTTTTCATTGGTTCAGAGCGATTATTGCAACTTTTTTTTGGAAAAAAAGGGGATTATCTCATTCATTAATCTTACGGTTGAGGGCGGCAACGAATTAATTAGTGCGGATACAGAAAAAACGGACCAACAAAAGAATTCTTAATCCAGCATGAAACATGGACTTATCTGGATATTGTGTGCGAGGTGTGTTAATGAAATTATTAGCTTTTTGTGCTTTTCATAATAAACCGAAAGCAATTTTTTGTTTTAATGAAAAATAGGGGTCACGATAGCTCCGCGTTATTAAAGAATAAATTTCAGTACAAATAAGTGCCATAATTCATGAACAGAACATTTCTGGAATTATCATAATTGTCGAATTATGTGCCTCGCCAGACGCCTCAACTTAGCAAACTTTGTAAAATAAATATCCACGTTCTATTTGCGCAGACATGGTTTACTTTGTTGCTCTAAGACTCGGGAAATCAATGCTACGCCACTGCTCGACCCACAATCACGATTCGACCGATCCTCTATTTCTTATTAAATTATAATGAGGAAATCGATGAATCAATTAAAAATTCTCGCTATTTCATAAAGTATCTGTAATCCTTCCGAACGGCTTACGAACTTCCGCCCTACCAAATTTCCCACTCCACATTTTGGCTGCGACCTCACAACCTATACACGATATTCTCGACATAATAGATTTTCCAAAGTCTTGGCTAATTCTATATTAAAAGTAAACCAACACAGTGTAACTATGTTTTCTGTAAGCAGACACTATTCGCAGTAGGCCATTTTCCATATTAGCCGCGGTCTTTGTTTCCACGATCCATTAAGCCGAGACAATAGCTTGCATGAGTTTCGTTATTAATTATTTACTGTAAGCCTGAAGCTTATACACTTTATTTCCCTTCATTGGAATGTTCTGCTCATTTAACCTTATAATGAGCGATATTTTCGACGCCATTTCCCGAACGGTCGCAGCCATCTTGAAAAAATGCATTTTTCATGCTCCCCTGGTGCGCATCGTAAAGTTTTAGACATCAGAAAAAGACATCGTTATTCGTAACCATGCGAAGTAATGCATCAAACACAATAAATTCTTTATGCAAGGAGATGTCTACAAATGATAGCAGCAACATTATAGGACAAATGTCACAAGCTTCATTTTTCGTTTATTTAATCGCCGATATATCGTCAGTGGTGAAATGATAAACACTTTTGTAGTGTGATTAAACTTTTTAGTAGTTTTAATAGTGTCACAAAGTTATTTGTGGTAATAAATATATTGATCAATTGGTTAGCGTATTTATTTTTTGAAACATCCTGTATACCAGTTGTTATCATTCATAAATCGCTGTTAGTAACTTATTATTAAGTATTTCGATTGTATTATATTTTGAAATGAAATCACCAATTTCTAGGAGAAAACGAACTGACCGATTATAGTTATGTCTAGGATTTTCATGTTATTTTTAAGAAATGCCTGTTGATACAAAGTAATCGATTTCGTAAATCAGTTTAACATTTTGGAGATGATGCGAATGATAAAATAATATAAATACATTTTTTTCTCTCAAAATTTTATAGCTTGGACTCGAGGACAATCCAACTTTTTGCAAGAGACGCCTCAACGAAGTTGATGGATTATTTTCCATGTGTTATTGTGAACAATTCCAGTTCCACGAAATACTAAATTTTTGCTGCAACTGTTCTAAAACAGCACCACCGTAATAATGCTTTTCTCCCTTAATTGCAACTCCCTTTGGGAATAAATGTTTTATGTTCCACAGAGAAAACCATTTTGCATTTTTCTTTAAAAAAAAATTGAAAGTTTGACGTTTTAAATACCAGCGCGGCTGACCTTATCAAATGCAATCAAAATCTGTCAATTTAACTTTCGCAGCACCAGTGATCTAAATAATTAATGAACGCACGGTATGACCCTACTTCGAAGTAACAAATAACTAACAATATTTGGATTTTGTTACGAAACTCAACAGCTACAATTATAGGAAGCATAACTTATACTATTACAGTAGTTATCAAAGTGAAGAATAACGTACATTTATTTTAACAAAAGTATATTATGAAGGTCAGGTTATACCTACTGAACGCTAATTCTGTCAGTCTGAATATTTTTATTACTTAAATATTCGCTAGACACAAATATTCTCCCAATGCACTTTGGTTGTCTTAAATAAAAGTTTACACAAAACTGTTTTCATGGAACTTTTATTTCATAGAGCATAAAATAAAAGTTCTGACAGCGCATTTTAAAAAAGTTTCCGTTCTGATAATGTAAAAGTTATATAAAAACTTATACTTTGCAGCTAATAATGTCAACTCCAAAGGAACAACTCACTTTCTGCTAAATTTCATAATATTTACAAGTTCTATGCTATTTGTGGCGTCCTGGTTCGAATTAAAATTTCGCGCTTAGAAAAAAGGAAGAGAGAGCAATGCCACGAAACGGGATTAGAAAATTTAATATTGTTTGGTGTTGTGAGAGTAACCTCGAGGTGAAAATTTAAGGCAGTTTCGTAAAATAGTAATTGTTTTAACGAAAATGAATCGCATTAACGCAGTTTCCCCTCAACAAACGTAATTAACTATTATTAATGTTTTTATAATCTGAAATGTGTGAAATTTTGACGATGTTAACTCGTCGTGTTAATTTTGTTTAATTGTTTGTTAATTCACTGTTCATGTTAACATTTTTTATTGTTCCTTGTTGTATTAACAGTCATGAAATTGTTAGCTTAAACCACGTCTCAGAAAATTCACTTAAACAAACTTCACTCTTTTTCACTTCCTGAGTGTTAACTGAGGAAGTATTGTAATCGAGTCCATCGGCCGATTCCCTCCCTACTCTATGTTTCCTAGACCTTTCATGACCCCTAGAGTACGGAAACATAGATCTCCCGTTTCTGTTTGTCTGTTTGTCTGTGGCAGATAAACTTCGAAATTACTGGACCGATTGTTGTCAAATTTTGTGTGTATATTAGGACTATTATGTAGTTGGTAAGACGCTAACCATCAGATTGGCTGATCATCCCCACCAATAAATTGATTATTTCATGCCTAACATTTACAATTATTCCTGTACTTGTGGTGTATGAATACGTGGTTACTTTTCACCCTAGACATCCAGGTTAAAAAAAAGTCAGAACTATATAGCTTTTTGCAATTTACTTTTGAAACTGCAAAACTGATTGCTTTGACATTTTTCAAACGTTTTAAAACCAATCATTCATCAATCAAATCGTTAATCAAAATTTATTTGTATATCCCCTCCGAAAAAATTGATCATGTAAAAATTTTGTCGAAGAAATCCTCTCTGATTCTATACTTGTGGTTTATGAATGCACTCATTCTTAGAATTACTTATACAGGGTGACTCAAAAAAAAAATTTAATGAGGCAATTTATCGTAGTGATTAAATTTTTATGATATCGCAATTTTTCGTTTTTCATTTTATTTAATTTTTTAATTTCTTCTGTTTTTCAGTTTCCCGACTTCCAAATTTTTAATTTTTCAATTTAACAATTTTTTGGTTTTTCAATTTTTGGTTTCTGCAATTTTTCAAGTTCTTAATTTATATTTTTTATATTTTCTTGATTTTTAATTTTTAATATTTTTAATATCACAATTTTTATTGTTTTTATTCCCTTTGTTTTTTCAATTTTTCCATTTTTGAATGTTTCGGTTTTGTAATTATTCTTTTTCTGTTTTCAACTCCACACTCTCGATTCTAAATTTTTCCGTTTGTTTCTTCAATTTTTCGATGTTACAATTTTCCACTATTTAGATAATTTCGTTTCCTCAATTTTTTAAGTTCTTGATTTTTATTTTTCATTTTTCTGACTTTTTAATTTTCTTTTTCGATTTTGTATCACAATTTTTCGTTTCAATTTTTCAAATTTTCAGTCTTTCATTTTTCAATTTTTCGGTTATCCAATTTTTTAATTTTTCAATTTAACAATTTTTGGATTACTCGATTATCCCATTTTCCCTTTTGTTTTACAATAATTCGTTATTCTCAGTTTTGCATTTTTTGATTTTTAGGTTCCTCAATTTTTATTCCACTTTTCAATTAGTCGTTTCTTCAATTTATTAGATTTTTCAAAATTTTCATTTTGTAATTCTTCGCTTTTTCATTTTTGATTTTACAATTTTGCAATATTTGATTTTTTGTTTCGAATTGAAAAATCGAAAAACTAAAGATTCGAAAAAAATTCATGAGTAGAAAAAACGCGAAAACGAAAAATTGTAAAATCCAAAAATTGAAAAATCGAAAAATTAAAAAATTATAGAATCGTCAAAATTATTGAGTCGAAAAACTGTAAGATTAAAAAATAGGAAAACTGAAAAATTATATATCGAGAAATTGAAAATTAACAAATCGGATAGTCGAAAAACTGAAAAATTGCAAATCGAAGAATTCAAAAATATAACAATTTTTTTTTGTTCTGCAATTTTTCAGTTTATTAATTTATATTTTTTTATTTTTTCGATTTTTGATTTTTAATATATTTGATATCACAATTTTTCGTTTTTATATTTCCTTCATTTTTCAATTTTTCCCTTTTTCAATATTTTGGTTTTGTAATTATACTTTTTCTTTTTTTAACTCCAGTTTTTTTAATTTTTCAGTCCCTCGATTCTAAATTTTCCCATTATTTCGATTTTTTAATTTTTGGATTTGCAATTTTTCAAATTTTTAATCTTTGATTTTTCAATTCTTGGCCCTTCCAATTTTTACATTTTTCAAATTTGTAATTTTTTGATTTCTCAGTTATCCCACTTTCCGATTTCTTTAATTTCTACAATATTTCGTTTTCTCGTTAGGTATGCATTTTTCGATTTTTAAGTTTCTCAATTTTTATTCCATTTTTGAATT